GAGAGAGAGAGAGAACAAATACACCTTCCATGTAGATGATACAAACCTTCTCAGTCACCATGTTTGCTTTCAGACTCAAGAGCTCCGGGGCCATCCATGGTAAAGTTCCTCGCACACTACCAGATACCAAAGTCTGCTGTTTGACTTTTGACAAACCCAAATCTCCAATCTGTAGACATGCAAGACAATTTCCTCATGTTATATCAAAGAAAACCGGAAGAGTGCACAGGCCAACCGGATATAACTGTTAAAACTAGACTTTTATCAGAAATGGTGGAGATAACATTGGAAGACAAGTATTATGAGAATAAACAAGTTCAATGAAGCCCTTAACATTAACTACTAATAATAGGCGCCAGTGCTCATACCTTACAAACCGGCCGATGAGGATCTCTCATATTTACTAACAAATTGTGGGACTTCAAATCGAAGTGAACAACCTTTTTCTCATGTAGATATTCCATTCCAATTGCTGCATCCATGGCTATTATTACCCTCTTCCGACGATCAATTGTTCTAACAAATCACAAGTACAAGAATGATAAGCCAAAAGCAACAAGACATACAGAATATGGATGATGCCCACCTTAGGAATACAAGAATTCTAAAATATATCTTAAATTTTAGAGAATTACCATTCATAAGGTACATTAACATCAATGGCATAGAGAAAAATATTTACAGAAAAATAATGTTTCCAAGACCCAATTACCTACAGATGTAAGTCACTAGAGAAAGCAGAACTCAACTGTCATAAGGACTAACAGCTTGATAAACATACCGGTCCTTTCTTCGAAGCACTTGTCTAAGGGATCCATTCACCATATACTCTGTGACTATGGCCAGACTACCAGCTGGTCCATCCTTAACAACTCCATAGAATGCCAACACATTAGGGTGGTGAAGCTGACCCAACATGCGAGCTTCCTTCCATAACTCTGCAATCTAAGAAGGAAGAAGAAGCTCAGGTGAATATGAGAGCTTAGGCAATCATCAGACCATCTAAACTGGGACATATCACATAGTAGATAGTTTCCACATGATAAATATGTATCACAATGCCAAATCTTTCAAGTTTTCAAATAATTAACTTATTCTCAACCCACAAAAGAAATAAGGTAAAGCTTCTTGAAGGCAAGAGTAAAACTTGATGCGCAATCGACTAGTAAAACATAGCTTAAAAACACTTGAAATAAAGACAGAATAAATGTCAAGCTAGAGAAGAAAATATACCAATTTATTATCCTCTGGTCGCCCACTTGAAAAACAACTACCTTTGATCCGCTTGATGGCTACATCAGAGCCCCTCCATTTTCCATAATACACAGTACCATAAGTCCCTGTTCCCAATTCACGTATTTCTTCCAAGTCTGAATACGATATGATCTGAATGTGATAAGTATACAAGTTTAAGCCTCAACGAAATGGGCAGCAATGATATTAAATACTGCTTGATTAGTCAACACTCAACAGGCACCCTTCACCCAAAGCAACGGGACATTGAAATACAAAAAGGTCAGAAGGAATGAGTACCTGCAACTCTTGCGCAGCTAAATGAGAAAAGCTTGCCAAAGTATCCATTTTGACGCCCCGTATCACCTCGGAACCATTTGGCTGCTGTATAGCAGTATCCTGCAACCAAGAAACTCCAAATTAGAGAATAATACCACATTGGCGAGGTATTGCCACCACAAAATAAGTATGAAACCACACAAGTAACTCACCTCAGGTTCCTGTTTCTTATTATTGTCCTCTGGGCAACCATCTACAGCCAGAACTGAAAATCCAGTTTCTCCATTTAGATTTCTTGAAATAGGATCCTCTCTAAGGAACTCGCTTTGTTGAGTTGGTTGTGATGCTTGCCTCAAAGAGTGCATATCGAGTACTGAAATGCTATTTGTCTTACTAAAATCATTGGGGCACAAACCGTTCGGCAAAAGATCATTTTGTGTTTCCTGGGTTGATTGATCAGGACAACTCACATCTCCTTCACAAGCCTCGCCAAGTTCAGCAGGTGCTTTACTGTTTTCATCTTGACCAGTGGAACTCAATTCCATCCCCTTTTCTTTTACAGAAGTATCCATTACGCTTTGGGAATCATTCTGACCTGAAGCATGAATTGTAGAAAGGGATTCCTCCATCCTTGCAAACCTTGTTAACCGTGGCTTTTCTCTGTTACGGCCCATCATCCTCCCCTTTTCATCCCAATTGTATTGTCTAACATCACAGTTCTTGCGATGGGACTTGCTCGTAGAAGGAAGGCTCGGCTTCGATTGTCTCAATTTCAGGAGAAAGGATTTGGGTTTCGATAGATCTCGACAGCACTCTCTGAAACGAGGCCCTTCCTCATGGCTCAAAACACCACCATTCTTCTGAAAATACCTATTGGGCAAGAAATTACAACCATTTTTACTGAGTCCAAGAAAAGGAAAAGGAGCATATGCAGGGTTCAGTTCACCAAGACCGCGGTTACCGTCTTCATCATTACCCATATACAAATTCCCAACAAAAGAAGATCCATCAAAACTAAGAACCCTACTCGATTTATAGGTTCCTTCGCAATTGCAGGATCGATTGGGCAATAGAACAGGACTGATTTTATACCTAGGTAAGGAATAACATTCGACATCCCTAGGCTTCAACTCTGGCTCAAATTCTTTACCATTAAAAACACCTTTTGTAACTGGTTCTTGGATATGACTTGGTAATCTAAAACCTGAGTCCCGAGCCTGGTAATGGGTTTTGTGGGTTTTAGAACCAGGAGCTTCCTGACCAAAGCGATCGCCATAGAAACTTTTTTGCCCCTGCTTAATCCCAAAGAAACTCTTCACTCCTTGAGTTCCTAGACTACGGACATTGCAAGAAGTGCGTGCTTCAATGGAATCTCCATTAAAGTAGGCAGTTCCTTGAACGAAAACTCGATTCAAAGAACTGTGTTCTCGAAAAGAACCTCCAATAAAAGAATTGGGTTCTTGAATGGATCCTCTGGTAAAATAATTGGGTTCTTCTTCAATGGCATACCTGGTTAAAGGCTGAGGGAAAAGAAAGAATCTGAATCTTGGGGTCTTGCCCTCAGCGAAGAACTCAAGGTTCATCTCAATCATATTACAATAATCATCTTCACCTGAAACAGAAACCAGAGGGGTACAACTACAAGAATCGGGCAACATGTATTTCAAGGAGAAAGAATGGAAGGGACAAAGCTTTGAGAGCTTAAAGATGAAGAGAGAGAAAGAGGTATTCTTGTCGATGCAGAGAAGACGATTTTCACCACCACAGTATCTGGTTTTTCCGGCTTGTGAAGAGTGAATAAAAGAGCCACCATAACTACATAGAAACTTAAGCTTTTGGTCTGAATCCATGGAGATTTTAGTGGGTTTCTTCTTCTGGTTCAGAGAAGAACATTCATGGACACCCATGCTCGGTTTCTCTCTCTACACTAACAAGAAGATCAACGAGATTTCGGAGAGAGAGAAGAGTTGAAGAGTAATTAAGGGTTAGAGAGAGAGTAATTAAGGGTTAGAGAGAGATTAATATAGATTTAGAGAGAAAAAGAGGGGCGTTGAAGATAAATTAAGAGTGAGAAAGAGATTTAGTTGAAGAGTTATCACGAGAGTGGGTTGCGCGCCAAAGAATCCGCAAATCCCGGTATCTTGGTAAATAACCCGACAGTAGTGAAAATTATCGAAGATACCCTTAAGGCAGTTTGGGTAATGGAAATCTATGACGTGGCATTCGATTACAGGGAAATATAGTATTTCCGTCTGTGGATACCCTTTGCAGTTTGGGTATGTCAAAATTTATTATGTAATAATAGATTATAAAAAAATATGACATTGGGTACATTTAATCATAAAGAAATGGAAAGAGATCAGCAAGGGTTACGAGCGACGGATAATTTTGAAAAATTTTTGGTGTGCGTGTTTACTTAATTAAAAATATCTTCTAAGCGTTCTCTTTTTATAATAATTAGATGATCCCTCTTTTTTAAGTTCGTCCCCTTATTTAAAAGCATCAGCTGTTATATAAAAATAAAAATAATAAAAATAAAAATTAATAATCAATAATAAATTACACAACATAATCATAATAAAATTTTACATAACATAATGGATCTTTCCCTTCTTAAGCTCGTCTCCTCATCTGAATGCATCAGTGTTATATAAAAACAAAATTTATAAAAATAAAAATAAATAATCAATAATTAATAATAAATTACACAACACAATCATAATAAAAAATTTTACATATCCATCCCTTCTTAAACTCGTCCCCTCATCTGAATGCATCACAGTCATATAAAACAAAAATAATAAAAATAAAAATTGGTAATTAATGATAAATTACACAACACAATCATAATAAAAAAATTTAAACAACATAATCCTCCTAAGATATTACTAAAATGTCAATTGAAATAACATACCTCTTTATTCTCCTCGAATACCTCAAAATTTTATATTGCAATTACCAAACCTTTTCGTTTATTAATCAAATTTCTTCCTATTTTTTAACTCGTACCCTACAGATTTTGAATTTAATATCATAAATTTATTGTTTATTTGAAATTATATAGAGAGACATTTGAAAGACTTCTATAAAAAATAAATAAAAATAAAGCTTATCATAATAAAATCATGTTATTTCAATCATATTATTCCAATGATTTATCACGTTGAAACCAATGTCATGTTAGGAAACATGTGATTGCATATAAGTGCCAAAGGCACTTAAAATAAGCAGGAAATAGTGTCATGACTGTAAAATGGTACAAGTTATTATTAGAAAATCTTTTTAGAATTGTAATAATGTTATTGGTAGAAATCGTTTTGAAATAGTGTGATGATGATTTTTAATTCAGTATTTTAGTGGAATTTTGTGACACAAAAGAAGGAAATGATAATTCTGTATTTTAGTGGAATTTTGTGATAAAAAGGAAAGAAATGATATTTTATAGGCATGTACTGGTAAAATGCTAGTAATGCATTTCTTATATTTCTTCTAGACATAGCCAAAAATCAGAAAATCCATTATGCGAGGTGAAAGGTGAAAAATCTATTACGACAGTGACAACTATACGACAATGAGCTAATGTTGAGAAATGTATGTTTCGCCTGCGTTTTTGCCTATCCTACTCTAATTAAAAAAATCTTCTAAAACCCTCCCTCTTCGTAATAACTAGGTAATCCCGCCTTTTTTAAGCTCATCCCCTTTATTTGAAAGTATCAACTGTCATATAAAAACAAAAATAATAAAAATAAAAATCAGTAATCAATGATAAATTACACAACACAATCATAATAAAAAATTTTACACAACATATTGTGATCCCTCCCTTTTTAAGCTCTTCCCCTCATCTGAAGGCATTAGTGTCATATAAAAACAAAAATAATAAAAATAAAAATCAGTAATCAGTGATAAATTACAGAATACAATCATAAGAAAAAATTTCACATAACATAATCCTCATAAGAGACTACTAAAATCTCAATTGAAATGACATACATCTTTAATCTTCTCCAATACTTCGAAATTTTATACTGCAATTATCAAACATTCTAGTTTACTAATCAAACTTCTTCCCATTTTTTAACTCGTACCCTACAAATTTTGAATTTAATATCATAAAATTTATTGTTTATTTGAAATTATATAGAGAGACATTTGAAAGAATTCTATATAAAATAAATAAAAATAAGGCTTATCATAATAAAATCATGTTATTCCATTCATATTGTTCCATTGACTTATCATGTTGAAAACAATGTCATGTTAGAAAATATGTGATTGCATATAAGTACCAAAGGCACTTAAAATAAGTAGGAAATAGTGGCATGACTGTAAAATGGTGAAAGTTATTATTAGAAAATCTTTTAGAAAAGTGATAATGTTATTATTAGAAATATTTTGGAATGGTGTGATGATGATTTTAATTCAGTATTTTAGTGGAATTTTGAGACAACAAAGAAAGAAATGATAATTCTGTATTTTAGTAGAATTTTGTGACAAAAAAGAAAGAAATGATAGTTTATAGGAACGTGCTGGTAAAATGTTGGTAATGTATTTCCTACATTTCTTCCAGACATAGCCAAAAAATAACAATGCATTTTCCAGGTTGCATTTAAATTCTACCCAAATAATAACAATCCATTTACATGTAATGTATTACGCCAGTAATATATTCGACAGACAATATATTTCCAGGTATCCAAACGGCCCCTTATGGATTTTTACATCGTTCAATGACTATTGAGGCCCGATCCTTTTTGCAAATTGCAAGATGAGTCCATGTCTTTATAGATCATGGAAAAATGCATGATGAGAATATTTACTTTGGAAAAAGTTTATATAATGTAGAACTACGGATGCCACCGTCAGAAAATATATTTTTAATGTTGAAAAACCCTTTGATTGATCATCTTGACATGGAGATGTATGGCTATGAAAAATTAACAGATTTTAAGTCTCAGAAATAGTATATTTTACAACATATTATCTACACCGTCCATTTTCAAGATTTTCATATATTTACAGATCTACTTGATTTTAACCATATTTAAAATTTTAAATTTTATAATTAGATATAAATATAGATTTTGAGATAATCCCAATAACATTTTACATCAAAATTATATATCATGATAAAATTTGAAAGTGTACCTTACCTCTACACCTACGGATGCATATGTATGCCAATTGCACCCATTTACTTTTGGTACAAGGTAGTCACAACCAATCTTGACCACTGCATGGATGCGTTTATTTTATTGATCAAGCTCAAAATTCAAAAGAAATTTTTTCAAACTTTGTTACACATTCAAACTATCAGATTTCACATCAGATAGTTATAAGTAAGGACACGGTTGGCATGCGACCGCCAGCCAGCATATCATAGAAGGGCGGGCTTGGCAATAAATATATTTTTTAAATATAATTTGATCATAATTTTTAGAGAATATGTAATTTTTAACATGAATATAATGAATATGAATTATTATTTTTTGAAAACTAGAAATAATAATTATATTAAAAAAACATTTGGACCGTTAGGTACAATTGTTTTTAGATGGAATACCTATTTGCATCCGTCTTTAAGATGGATGCTTTATACCTCTGAACCGTATATTGCAGAAATGCGATCTATCTCGCATGAAACAATTGTTTTATAAGTAATTGTAATCTCTTTCTACCAAAGGTAAACAATTTTCTTCTCTTTTCACTTGGATTATAATTATTTTCTTGTCATAGAGGTGGCAATAGGTCGGGTCACCTGGTTCTAAAAAATTAAGTCTTGGATCACAAAATATGACATGCTGGCCGACCAGGCTAGTGCTATGGCCACGGCCATGACAGGACTGCCACGACCAGCCCTACCCTCTTATTTTTTTCTTTATTTTCCTTCTTTTAATTTTTTTTTTTTTGAATTCTACCTAGCTTCGCTCGGCCTTAATAAGGCTCGGGCTGGGCATTAGCCAGGGCCAACCCTACGGGGTTAGGACCAAGGGGGGCCCGGGCAGGGCGGCGGGCCCTATTTTTTTGATGAGCTCATTAGATAGCCCCTCTTTTCCCCTCGATGTGTGAAAAATGCCGACCTGCATACTATGTCTAAGTTGAACATGTGGTGGAATAGGAGAACAGTTGAAGCGCCTGCATGAAGAGAGAAAAGTGAGAAAAAGTGGGATAAGATGGAGAAAACACGTTGTCCCCCTAAGGGATTGACTTTTAAGAAAGGGACAAGTAGATGCATTTTCCTGATTGGAATTCAACAAAGAATTAATATTGAAAAACATTTTTTCTGATATTTTGGGAATCAATCAAGTTATGTCTATTGAGAAGCAAGCCCTTAGTCCGGTTTGTGACTTTTTGTGAATATGTATATGCATTTATTTATTTTTCTTTTTCTATTTTTGGTAATTTAGTTAGGATTTGAACCTTGGATGTTATGTTCCCCTTCTTGGCCATATAATATGTACTTATTCTGGAAAAGAATAAACAATAAAAGGGATTTTATTAGGGTACTCTTATATATTGAGTGTTTTTTTAATATTTTTAACATTTTTTATGCAATAACTCTTTTGTGTGGAGGTATTTTATATAATTAATCGAAAGTAAAGTATAATATTTTAATAGAAAGACAAATATTTATTAACTATAGTAGATAATGACATCATTCATTTGAGATCTGGTATCACTTAAATTAATTATGTTTTTAACCACTAATAAAATGCTACTACTTTCTCATAAAAATGTACATTTTACCTCTCTTAATGGCAAAAATGGCTTTGCTTGAGAAATTTTGTATTGCAAAGCAAAAATAATGAGAGTCTAATGAATGTTGAGCCCATTAAAAAAATGATTCGGTTTTTATAGAGTTGAGGCTCTATACCATCAAAATAAAACACATCTTCAAAGTCTTGCCAAACCCTAAAAGTAAGGCCTTGGCTAAAAAGTGGCCCAA